GAGGAGAGGAGGGGGAGGAGGGCACTGGTGCGGAGAGGAGAGGAGGGGGAGGAGGGCACTGGTGCGGAGAGGAGAGGAGGGGGAGGGGAGCACTGGTGCGGAGAGAGGAGGGGGAGGAGGGCACTGGGCAGGGAGGAGCCTCTCTTACAGGGCTCTGCAGGATCATGGACACCCTCTTTTTCTGCTCCATCATATTGAAGTCCTGGCGCAGGTCTGGCGCCATGTTCCTCTCCCGCAGGTACTCTGGGTTGTTCTCGTCCACCCTGTCGAAGTACCTCTCCTTGTGAGGCGCTGTGGTCGGGGGTGGCGAGGTCACCACCGCGGCCCGTGTGTCACCATTCATCGTACAGTCTTTCTCGGCTCCTACAGAATCAACACACAAGACAGTGTTGTGTCAGGGTCAATGTCCAGCAGCACTTCACGGCAAGCACGCCAGCCTGACGAACCCAGTCCCCAGCGCGGCAGCGCAGTGACCCGTGGAATCAGAGCCCTGGCGTGTGAGGCTTCTTTGTGGCCTGGGGCACACGGCTGCTCGGCCGCCTCCCGCCCTTCTGCTAACCCAGGGCGCGCTCTGTCCTTGCCACTGTTCTTCACACACGACAGAACCACCTCACAAAGCAATTATTATGTCTTCTGTCAAAGTGACAAGGAACTCGATGTTAAACTGTGACAAGACGGTTTAAGCGTGTCCCACCCAGATGGGACCTACCAACAGCAGAGTTCATTTCTGAAGAGATCTGATTTATGGTATTTTTCCAAAATTATGTCAGTAGTGATTATGCAAAGGATCTCCAAACACATTTGTATTCACGCAAATGGGAAATGTTCCTCGTCAACATCACCTGACAGTTCAAAGAAGGCAGATCCTGAAAATGTCAACGTGCCCTAATCTGTGACTAACCTAGAAGATGCCCAAATGACTCAAATTTAAAAATCTGTTATTGTGACTACTTATTTACACTTTTTAATCCCAATCTTTCTATTTGAAATGAGGTTCAAATACTAAATCATATCCTTCACTAAGTCTCTACACAGCACCCTTTACTAACCAGTTAAATTACTATTGTTTGTATAAGACACTGAATGACCACTTAACTACACGTACACAGTATTCACTGAGCACCTATTAGGTCTAGCCATTGTGCTAAGCACCAAAATTAATCGGACACTGTCCTCACCTTGGGGAAGCTGCAGTCACAGACTCACTGAGAAAGGAAAGCAGATTCAGAAGTCACCAGCACAGGGACGGCAGTTAAAGCCAGGGAGGAGGGGACACCGGCTAGCAGAACACAATGTGCACACAAGGGGCAGAACCAGCGCCTAGAACAGTCCCAGCATTGGGCTGTATATAAATAAAAGTTTTTTTTAATAAATTAAGAACAAGAAGGAAAGGAAGAGACGGGGTGAGAAACAGACTCGGGAGCCGCGGGCAGAGGTGATGGGGAGCGGACCCAGCTCCTCAAGCCACGCGGGACAAGCAAGGCAGAGCTTTCAGAGTTAGTTAAATTAGCAAGTGAGATGTAACTGGTGCCCGTTCCTTACACGCTACACACAAAATTCATCCCAAATGGAACACAGACCTAAATGTAACAGCAGAATCTGTCCAACTCCTAGAAGAAAACACGAGAGTAAATCCGCGAGGCGCCAGGTTAGGCAAAGGAGAAGAGGAGAAGCAACAAAAAGAAGAAAAGATAACCTGGGCTTCCTCAAACCTAAAAATATTTGGGCTTCAAAGGACACATAAGAAAGTAAAAAGACAGCTCACAGAACGGAGAAAATACTTGAAAATCATGTATCTGTGAAGAGATTTACATCCAGAATACATAACTCTTACCAACGTAATAATTAAAATAATTTAAAAAAACTTGAAAGTCATCAAGTGACCTCAGTGGCACAGCCCAAAGAGCACAAGAACTGAGCGGCCATGAGTGCCTCATTCCTGGTCCACAAAATCATGAGCCACGAATAAGAAGATAATTCCTTTAAGCTGCAAAGACCCAGGACAGCTTGTCACTGACATCACGGCGCTCAGGGAAGGAGTGTGTGCCAGACACCGGTTTGCGCTTGTACATGATCCTCTCAACTCCCCTATTTGGTGGTGTTGGGTTTTTTAAAGACTTTAATTTTAAGTAATCTCTATGCCTAACATGGGGCTTGAACTTACAGCCCCCAGATCAAGGGTCACAAGCTCCACCGACCAAGCCAGCCCGGCACCCGTCCCTATTTGCTGAGACACTACAGTTTTCCTCACTTTGTAGACAAGGGAACTCAGGCCACTCAAAAGAGAAGGAGCAGGGCTGGGATTCAAACCGCAGGCCATCTGCTGCAGGGCTTTTGTGCTTCACCTCTAAGCCACACCGCACGTAATGAGGACGACCAGACCGTGGGCGGGGACAGAGGCAGCAGTGGGGGGGACAATGTCCCCAAAGGGATGAGAAGGAATGAAATCAACAGTGTGAGATGCTACGTGTCTCAGGAGTCAGACCAGTGGCACTGACCCTAGACTACAATGTGAACAGCGAGGCTTTAAAGAGAAGTTTATATGAAAAAAATCTTATGGTATAAACAGCCAAAGAATCAGTTGGAGAAAACTTTTTCTTCAAGACAGAGATCAACTTAAATATTATTCTTCTGAATGAAACCTAAAGATAGGACAGAAATAACAGTATGCTTAAAGTGACACCTTTCAAAGACTCCAAGACAAGGTATAAAAACAATCAGGGACTAAAAATCAACACACAATAAATAAACCCAGGACCTGAATGTAGTCTTTAAAACTTACTCGTCTCTAAAGGTATCCTTTACATTTTTAGTTTAATCTGTTTACTTTAACCTAGTTTGTTCTAAAATAATGACGCAAAGAACAAAATAACAGTCGTCTAAGGTTTCTTCATTAGATGTAAATGAAGCTGGACGTTCTGAGCCAATGAAACAAAGATTCTACTTCAAGGATTAAAAAAAGAGAAAGAAGAATATGCAGTATTGTTACTTCTCTGTTACTAAATGAGTCCCAATTTGAAGACATTTTCACCAATTAATAAAGACACAGGCCACATTTTAGGGGCAACCTTCACTGGTGCTTGGTTCCCAGAGCAAATCACCGAATCTCTGAAAAACACGTTACAGATGAGGCCGAGACTGCTCTCTTTTTACTACAAATTGCCATGCGAATGGAGTAAGACACAGAGTGCAGACCAGATATGCGTGTGTTCCTTTCCTTCAACAGGGAAGTCTATAAATTTAAATCAAAACCAAAGTATACATATTCTGAGCCTAATAAGAATAAACATGATTCCATTTTTTAAATAATTTTTAATGTTTGTTTTTGAGAGAGCCACAGAGCATGAGTGGGGGAGGGGAAGAGAGAGAGACACATACACAGACAGACAGAATCTCAAGCAGGCTCCAGGCTCCAAGCTGTCAGCACGGAGCCCGACATGGGGTTCGAACTCATGAACCACCAGCCCACGACCTGAGCCAAAGTCGGACCCTTAACTGACTGAGCCATCCAGGCGTCCCGAACATAATTCCATTATTAAAGCACAAACCTATTTTTGTCAATTATGCCCTCAAGTTTCATCAGCTTAGCTTTTAGAAGCATGTTAAGACAGCAAATTTTTCTAGGAAGGTCTCTACAACTAAGTTATTACTTAATCCAAATTTAAAAGAAAAGAAATTGGGAAATACAGATGCAAAAAAATATCTCCCTCTCTCTCTGACCCTCCCCTGCTCACGCTGTCTCTCTCTCTCCTAGAAATAAATAAAAATAATTAATTAATAAAATAATAATTTAAAAGGTAGTAACAAGCCCAATAGTTGTTAATGTCTAACAATAGATGAATGGTTATAACATAAATATTAAAATCTGCTCAATATAATATTATGAAACTATAGATTCTTTGGCATGAGAGATTATACCATTTAAGTGAAAACCTGTACATTTTTCTATTCTATATATAAATTCATCAATACTATAATTATGATCACACAGACAAGATGCCGCAATAGCAAATGAGCTGCACTAGAGCTGAGTAAATTGATAAAAGACAAGAATGGATCACCATTTCTCTATCTCAATACTCTATCAAGTTGCTCTAATTTTACCTGTGTAAAAAGTTGAAGGGGCGCCTGGGTGGCTTAGTCGGTTAAGCGTCCGACTTTCGCTTAGGTCATGATCTCGCGGTTCGTGGGTTCGGGCCCCGCGTCGGGCTCTGTGCTGACTGCCAGCTCAGAGCCTGGAGCCTGTTTCAGTCTGTGACTCCCTCTCTCTCTGACCCTCCCCTGCTCACGCTGTCTCTCTCTCTCCTAGAAATAAATAAAAACATTAAAAAAAAAAATTAAAAAAAAAAAAAAAAAAAAAAGTTGAAGATTTCACTAATCTTCATATGTTGATACTTAAAATCGATGAAATCTCTGGGAACAATCCATTCAAATACACAATCGCACTCAACAGAACCCAAAGGTCTGGATGAATCTTGACTACCAAGCTTGGCTTGCCCGCGTGACATCTCGCACCCACCCCTGCCCATGTCACTCCTGGACACACAACTGCCTCCTAATTAGTTTCCCTACTTCCTGTCTCCCAATAATCCCCACTCCAACCCATTCCCCCAGCGAAACCAGAGAGTTGCAAATCCCCCTGCTTAAAACCTGATGGCTAATAAAAGGTCTTTATCTGAATCCTGATCTAAATCTAAAAATGACATCTGAAACACTTACATTTGAACATCAACCAGTCTTGGATGGCATTAAGAAATTGTTAAAAATTGAGGTGTGACCTTATTATGGTTATAGTAGCTACGTAAGACGCACATAGAAATACTTATAGATGAAATAACATAACATCAGAATTTGCTTAAAGCTTCTCTGTGGGGAGGAAGAGTAAAGCTTACGCAAAACAAACAAGACTGGTCCGGAGCTAGTAACTGTCGAAGCTGGATGGAGGATAAAGCAGGATTCACTACATATTCTGTATGGTCTGAAAGGCTCCATAATTTTCCTTGCTCTTAGAATAAAGCACCTCTCAAAACCTTACGTAAAGCTGGTCTCTGCCGGCCTTCAGATGAACACATTTCAGCAAGTTCCTTCACACAGAAATCACTGATACTGGGACGAAAGGATATTTTAAGATTAACCTCCCTTGTCTAATGTCCCACAAGCTGCCACTCTGCCTCATGCATTATTTACTGATCTGGAAAAGACAAAGTATGCCCTGGAATATTCATTCTTACCAAAGATATTCTAACCCTAAGATCAGAAACCAGACAAATTTTGACTTCTCTAAAATATCTTTGGGCTCATTCTAAAGCTTGTGGGCAGACTCAGTTATTCCTGGCACAGACCTTTTGCTAATGGCCGCCTAT